CTTTAGAAGACCTAGCGTCTTATTCTATAGAGTATAGCTCTAGTAGTAAGTCTTACACGTTGCTACGTACGTATTAACGTCTTCTTATATATCTAGCTAGTAATATTAATCTTATAGTAACTAGGTAGTTTTTCTTTATTCTAGGTAGGTAGTTACCTAAGTAGTATACACGGCGCGTATTAAATACGTTTATAGGTAGTTAATAGTAGAAACTATTAATTAATTCTAATAGGTTAATAAACTATCTTCTATTTTCTAGACGAAGCCTAATATAGTAGCTTTTTCTTAAGCTAGCTATAGAGAGTTGTCTAATTAGTTAGCTATAATAACCTAATTAATTATAGTATATAGATTCTTAGTAGAAAGTACCTCTATAAACGTATTAGTAGCAGCAATTTCCATAGCACTACTAGCTAAACCCTAGATAGCTAGAACTAATAACTTACCTAATAATTACTTAATAGCTAAGAGGCTAATTTACTTCTTACTTAGAAAAGCCCTTATATAGGCGGCGCGATTCTTCTTCTTTTAGATCTTAAGCTCTTCTTACTTTTATAATAACGCGTCCGCTACTATATTAGCTAAACCTAGTTAATAGGTAAGCTTAAGGTTATAGTTAGTAATATTATTTACCTAGTAGACCTACCTAGTAGTAAGTTTTCGCTTAGTAGTAAAGTACTCTAAAGCTTAGTAGTTAGTTAATACTATAAAAGGCTCTAGATCTTACAAGCTAATTAACTAGCTTCTCTACTTCTATACGCTAAGAATAACTACTAGTATTTCTTTATTATAAATACTATAGTTTATCTAGGTAGTATTTATTATCTTACTAAAGAAAGCTACTAGTCTCTAGATACCGTCTTCTTAAAGTTATAAAAGGACTCTAGTAACTATACTATCTAATACGTCTATTTCTACTCTTATATAGTAATAGAGAGAGTAATAAGCTAGTATAGTATTAGATAGTATAAGATTCTTAACCTACTAAAATACCACAAGCTTAATTTCTCTAAAGGCATGCTATACTCTCTATTTTAGTAGCTTAGTAAGAAAGCAAACAATCTAGCTATAATTCTTTAAGAAGGCTTAGTAGAAATTATAGAAACCTAGAAATAATTAAAGACTCTTAAGAGTTATAAGTACAGGCTAATTCTAGATAGTAGTAACCTTCTTAGAATTCTTCTAAATTCTATTAGTACTTATAATTAATTCTAGAAACTTAGTACTTTTAATAGTAAATTTAGATTTCTTAATATCTACTTATAACCTAGCTTTATACAATTAAGCAAGTATCTAGATAATATAGGCTTTATGCTTAAGCAAATTCTCTAAGTAAATAAGAATATTATTAATATATACTATATAGAAATTATCTAGTAAGCTATATAACACCTTATTAATATATTACTAAAAGGTAGTAGAGCTGTTATAGAGGCTAAAGAGTAGAACTTAATACTTATAGTTACTATACTACGTACAAAAAGACGTTAGGTTCTCTACTAACTTATTAAGCTAGATCTAGTAGAAAGCTTACCTTACGTCTAACTTAGTAAAGACTTTAGCGCGTAATAGGCGTATAAGCGTTTTCTAGATAAAAGAAATAGAATAGACGTCTTTCTTTATAATAGTATTAAGCTTTTAATAGTTAACGTAGAACCTCTATTCTCTATCTAGCTTTTTAGTAAATAGAACTAGTAACGCGTACAACGCATCGCTATAAATAATAAAGCCGCGACAAAGGTAGTTCTCTAGGTAATTCTATACTAACTATAGATACTCTAGTAATATACTATAAAGAGAACTATTTATTAAGGTATTTTCTACTATAAGCTTAATATTATAATCTACGCCTTCTCTATATAGTAGTAGAGTATTAGAATTCTTTTTTAAGAAATAGGCTACGGTTACGCTAGTATATTCTAGAGATAGAAGCTTTTAGGTAACTAGTTAGTAGAGTTCCTTCTTTAGATTAGTAGTAGTAGTTTTCTTTCTATTAGTAATAAGCTAATTAACCTTATAGACACTAAGGTGCCTAATTATAGTATCTTTTTAACGCGCGTTAATTATAAAGGTAGCTACACTAATTATATTAACGTTAAGCTTAGCCTTTAAGCATGTTTCCTATAAAATAGGTAGCTTTTTTAGCTTATAGAGCAACCTAGCAGGCGGGTTAAGATTCTTAAGCTACCTATCTATCTTGCGCAGGTTTTCTTAAAGCTTCTAGCGTTATAATTCTCTCTTCTCTTATTATATTACTCTTAGCTTTTCTACTACTAATATTAGAGCGTCGCAGCAATTAGCATTAGCTTAGTAAGCTGCTTAAGCTTTAGTAGTAGATTAAGAGAATTATGTAGAGACGAATGCGTCGCGTTTATAATTAATTAATTAATTAGTGTCTAGCTATATTAGTGCGCGCTGCTTATAGTTAACCTAAATGTTAGCTTCTTTAAGTAACTTATAACTAATTATTGCGTTATAGTAGCTAGTGTTATAATATATAAAGTAAGTATAGATTTAGTAGCTTTCTAGTACTAGATTAGCTTTAAAATACTTATCTACTTAGCTATTAGGTTGCCTATTATACCTAGTAAGAGGGATTAGTTCTATGCGCAATAGCTTAACATAGAGGTTTTTTCTAAGAGTTTAAAGGTACTTTAGGTGTACTAAGACGTAGCTACTCGCTTCTATATTAATTAGACCTCTAAGCTTAATTACAAGACTATTTATAGATATTTAGTAGAGTAGAGTAAACGTAGAACTACTAAACAGCTTCTTGCGTAGGTTTATTACTCTAGTAGATAGCTCTAGAGAGAAGACTTCTTCTAGAGCTAGGCTTTTTCTAAATTATCTAATTTACATTCTAACGTGTTATTCTTAGGTGCTTATAGCTCTATAGGCTCTATAGACTTCTTCTCTAGATTAACGTTCTTAATAGCTTTCTGCGCGGCAGGAGCTCTAGAGTAATCGCAGCTTAGGTAGCTAGGTTAGTAGTATTAAAAATAGGTAACTAGCTTCTAGATTACTAGAGCTTTATTAGGTGCTAAAAAACCTAGAAGAGCTAGAGGCGCGCGTTGTAGCATTAACGTAATTACGTTACGCTTTTTAGCCTTTCTAGTAGCAACACGTGCTTTTCTAGAGGTAAGCTCTTAAGTAAGGTCTTAAGTAAGGTCTATATAGTAGTTATAGTTATTAACGTATTAACGTTAGTATATACCTAACTACGTACGTATAGTCTCTAGTAGCTTCTTATAAAATTTCTCTACCTATTAGTTTACTAGAAGCTAGCGCTTCTATGTAAGGCAGAAGAAATTATTCTAAAAGTAGGCGAAGTTAGTAGCGCTTTAGTAATAAAGCTTTTAGAAATTATAGTAAGCGTTTAGCCTCTTATATAGGTCTCTATAGCTTCTCTCTAGCTAATTAAGAATATAATTATAGAAAACTACTACGCTACTATTCTTAATAATACATAGTATTACTAATAGAGTCTAGTACGCGTCTTCTTTAGTTTACGTACGAATATAGGTAATAATAGTTTTCTTAGTATTCTTTAGCGTATCTCTAGTATACTAATTCTAGTTTACTTAAAGTTTATTATATAAGCTATCTCTCTACTACTTAAAGGTAATACTCTTACTATCTAATAATAATAGTAGATCTAGAAACTTAGTAGAGCGCGTTAATTAGCTCTCTCGCGCTTACAACGCTAGAGGCGTAGCTAGCTAGTATATAGAGAGGCGAGAACCTAGAATTAAATTCTCTAGTAGTAACGTGCTTAAATTACGTATAATTAGTATTATAGAGAAACGCGTCGCGCGTTAAACTAGTATAGTAGGCTAGTCTCTAGAGTAGGTTAATTACGCTTATAGTTACTAGATTTTAGCATTCTTTTTAGCTAGAATAGTAGCCTATGTTAGATTTTTTGCGTATACGTTATCTCTCTTAGTAAGAGCGTTAGCGGCAATCTAGTAATATATATAAATTTATTATTTATATACCTATTATATATATAATTAGCTAACTATTTTATTAATAATTTTAGCTAGCGTTTCTAGAAAGAGCTCTTAAAGCTCTTTAGTAGAGGTAGAGAGTGTAAACAAACCTAAGACTAATAATAGCTCTAGTATTACTAAGCTCTAGCAAAGCCTTGCAAGCTTCTAGTTAAAGTTATTATTCTAATTCTTATTAGTTATTACGTCGTGTTACTAAATAGAGTTTTTATAATAGAAATATTAATTAGTATATTCTGCTAGCAGGTTTACTACTCTAAATTCGAGAACTATTAGGGTAAAGAGGTATTGTAGAGCCGAGGTCCTGCCTCTAGACTAGCTTCGCGAGGGTTCTTCTATAGTATTTAGATTTGTTTAGCTTTTTAATTAAGAAAGAAGCGAAGGGGAGAGGTATTTAGCTGCTAGCAGAGTAGTAGGTTGTTAGCTCTGCTAGCAGAGCAGAGAATTGTCGATTTTTCGTAATTTGTAAAAAGAGAGGGAGGGTTTCCGCACGTAGAAGTTCTATAGAAGTTCTCTTATACATAGAGCTCTTAATAGCTCTCTTTAGCTTAGTGCTAGTATCTTTCTACTACTAACTAGATCTACTAGTAGTCTTATATAGCGCTAAGAGGTAAGCAATTAATTAGTACGTTAATAGATTCTTAGAGTAAGCGACTAGGCTCTTATAGCTCTAATTCTTAGTGTTAGCTATTAGTAAACGCTTCTTAACAAGGCTACTTAGTTTAGCTAGATATTATGCCGCCGTCTCTAGCTAAAGAGGTAATAACCTTTAGATAATATAAGAGCTAGGTTCGCGGTCTCTACTACTATAAGCGTTCTAGAATACCTAGCTAGGTAAGTTAGCTATAGGTAGTACTATCTCTACAAGCTATAAGAATAGAGTGCTAGCAGAGTAGGTTAAGTTAAATTTAGCTATCTAAAGGTAAGAAGTTAAGAAAAGGCTCTAAGAGGCTCTATATACAGAGGTGCCGAGCGCTAAGGCGCTAGATTAGGTTACGTAATTAGATTACATAACTTAAGATTATGTAACCTAAGGTAAATCTCTAAACTAGACTATTACAACTATAAAAAGGCTTTATTTTTAAATAACTACTTAAAGCTAGTATATTATTAGTTAATAAGCTCTATATAGTTAAAGTCTACTATAATTTATATAATAATAAGATTTATAGCTAGATTAACTATATATATATATAGTTAGAAGAGAAAACTCTAAAGAAGATATTTTTCTAACTTCTATCTCTTATTACGCTATACCTAGAAGAGCTAGCTCTATAGAAGTTTTCTAGAAACCTTTATTAGGTTATAAATACTATATACTATAAGTTTTATAGATTATTATAGAGATATAATAGTACTTACTAGAAGTAAAGTAGATTTTTTCTTAAAAGTTAGTTAAATACGTATAGCTTTTTAATTACGTAATATATCTTAGTGCAACTTTACTATAAGGTGTAATATACTATAAGGAATATATATATAATTTTTTATAGAAAAATATTAAGGTTTCGCTTAGTTATTTAAGAAAAACGGGTTGGTTTTCGTTGATTTTCGTTGCCAAGAAATCGTGGGTCGTTCGTTTGTGTAGCACGTTCGTTTGTGAAGTACGTTACTAGTCTTTTATCTAAAGATACGCGGTTTATTCTTAAGTTTCTGCAGCCTGACCTTTAGACTGTCACGTGAACCTCTGCCAGAAACAGGCAGCTCTTTCGGCTAAGCGAATATTGGCCCCTCCGAGCCAAGACCAAGCCTATAAATGCCTGACATTGTATCTTCTCTCAACCCGCCCTCGACACCCCCTCTTCACGGGTCTGCCTCGCTCTTCATTTCACTGCGGTTCACATCGTCATTTCTATTGATTACCTCGAGCGTTCGCTGCGCTCTCGCGCCATGGCCGATGAGGTCGCGATCAAAGATAATCAAGGCAAACCCCATTGGCAAAGGACTCGATACCTTTCGCGACTCTTTCGAATTTAAATGCAGAGGCCTAGCTATCACGGGCGCTGATGCATTGTACCATATTAGTGGGGAAGGTACGATTAGCTTTGCAGGTTCTCCCTGCATCTCGTTCGCTGCCTTCTAAGGGCAATAACGTAAACCCGTTTGGTGATCTATTGGAGCTGAACTCGACGGTCAACTCAGGCAACTTCGACATTGTGCGTATCATACCCCTCCTCAGAGCGGTCCTCAACAACGAGCCCGATGAAGTCATCTGGAACAATGTCTACGCCGCTGTCGCCGCCTCCTTCCAGCAGACGCCATGGCTGCACAACACGGGCAGCTTCGCGAACTCTACCGAACACCGCAAATATGTAGACGGCGTGCTAAAGGAGGAACTGGGGCAGCTATACGTCGGCTTACGATATCCAGATTTGCGCTTTCGGCAACCCAACATCTCTCAGCCTTTAGCCCCGCACAGTAGCAGACGTACTCTCACATCGCATTCGATAAAGCCACTGGATAACGATACAGATAACTATGCAAGATCATTTTATTCACTTTGCCATAGCCTTTTAGAAAGGTCTGAAACCTTTATAGTTCCCCTGGACAACATCGTTAAGTACCTTGCGGTATGCTGAAATGCCTGCAAAATAGAACAGCACCGCATGCTTTTTCCCGGATATATTGGAGCCGAATATCCATGAATCAGTCTTCCTGAACAGACTGTCTGCACTTAGCTTGTCACAGACATCCGTCCACTCATCTTCAGCTGCCTTTGTGGCCTCAATGACGGGCTCATTCGAGCACTCTACTTCCGATCTCGTTCTATTGGTATGCGCACTGGATACCAAGGCAGCCGGCGTCGCCTTCTTTGCCCTCCTCTCGGCTTCCTCGATGATGTTTGAAATGAACTCGACTTGGGTCTCGATAGCCGGAGGGAGATTGCAGAACGGTCCATTGGGACCAAGGATCATGAACATGTTTGGGAAATCTGGCACGCTCAAGCCAAGGTATGATGTCGAGCCTTGGTGTTGCCAGTGATCCTTCAGTGTTTCTCCGTCTCTACCCTTGATCGCAATGCGAGTATAATTGCCGTCAACGGCATCGAATCCAGTGGCAAATACTACGACATCAAGTTCATGTTCGGCGCCGTCCGAGGTTACGATACCCTTAGACGTGAACTGAACAATCGGCGTTTCCTGCAAACTTACGACCTCAACGTGGTCTAGGTTGAACTGCTCATAGTAGCCGGCGTCGCAAATCGGCCTACGGGCGTACAGTTGTGTCGGTATAAGTTTACGCGCCTTTTCAGGATCTTTAACAGTCGCAAAGATCTTTCGCTTGATAAAGTTGGTGGCAGCGTTATTTGCGGCTTCGTCGACCGAGATGTCCCCGAAGGTTTCAAACATGAAGCGGAAGCCTCCTCCCTTTTGCCATGCTTGTTCGTAGATCTCCTCTCTCTCCTCCTCGCTGACACTGAATGTCTGTCGGTCCGTTTCCTTGAACCCAAACCCAAACAGGCTGTTATCTTTAGCATCCTCCCAAATCTTGGGGTATTTTTCGATGATTGCTTTGCGGTACGCTTCCGTGACAGGGCCTTGGCCACTTGGAACGCTGTATTGAGGGTTTCGTTGAAAGCTCACAAGCTTCGACACGTCCTTTGCAATCGCGGTGATGACTTGGACTCCAGTCGAGCCGTTACCGATCACTCCCACACGTTTTCCCTTGATATCGACACCTCCGGGCCAGTTTCCGGTGTGGTACATGTCACCAACAAAGTCTTTAATGCCTTCATAGTCAGGAAGATTCTGTCGTGAGAGCAATCCCAGAGCAGAGACCAGATAGCGAGTTTTAAAGATGGTCCCCGTTGATGTTGTGACGATCCAGCGCTTAGCACTGTCGTTCCACTCAGCCGAAGTGAGTTCCGTATCGAATTGCATATGTCGCCGCAAGTCATACTTATTCGTGACATGTTGCAGGTAGGCGAGAATCTCTGGCTGGTAGACATAACGTGTAGACCATGGGTAGGATCTCAAGTCTTCGAGATCCCAAGAATAACGGTAGAGATACGTCTCGGTACTAAGGCAATCAGTTAGCCACGTCCAGGACTGAGCAAGTCGCAAGCTTTGCCACTGGTGCGAGCGAGGCGTGACAGCCACTGCAATAGCACTTACTCTGACATTGCCCCCGGATACCGATTCCAATACCAGGTGCCTCCGACATCAGAGGCGGCGTCAATCGCTATGACATTGAGACCCTGATCCCTCAACTTCTTCAGCTGATAGATGCCGCCAAACCCCGTTCCAACGACAAGAGCATCAATTGATACTACTGGCATCGCGTCTGCAAGGTCCGATGCGAAGGATAAGGGTGGATGGGAGGAGCCAAAGTGCACAAGGGCAGCTAGGGAAACAGAAACAGACATGGAGATACTGGAAGATGTCCAGTTGTTTGTGATGGTCTGAACCCTAATTTTGGGTAGAATCTTGTTCATTCAGTCCTTTATCTCCCTTAAGGAATTCCTTCTGACCTTTCCTACCCCGCAATATTCCTAGTAAGGAGAGCTAGTGTGACTACGTGATCCGCATGCGCTAGATCCCGCCCGACGACGGATAAGGGGTCACGGAGAGGTGTGCATATACCCGGCCCGCTTGTATGCTTCTACGCTTAACCCTTTCGGGCAAAACCGCGGAATTGCACCGACCTACTTTTTTCCCAAGCCTCCACCAACACCAGACATCATTCGTTGAAACATCGCGCCAGATTGCGCCTCAGACTTGTCATCGTCCGGAGTGTGCGCTTGATCTGGGCATCGGCTGTATATGCTTATATGAAGGGGCCTGGGCGTTGCAGTTCGCCCGTCACGTACGAGACTGAGATGCACATCACGTACTAATTGCATGCGAACGCTGACAGATTTAACACTGCAGCTCTGACGTGAACAGAGTCTATGCGGACCAATTTGTTCTCTGTAGGTTCTCCTTCGCACATCCGCAACTCAGAAATTCATGATCTATACCTACCTCCATGGCCAAATCAGAACCTACCTCCACCCGAGCACGGCGAGAGAATCCTCATCGTGACTCTAGCCAGTCAAGACGAGGCTTATCCCGCGAGACGCAGCCTTGCAGAGCCGAATCCACCGCTGACTGGATGCAAAGAAGCGACGATGTCGGTGTCCTGTACGACGCGCTGCCAGGTCTAAGCAAAGTCGTCAACACAACCACCTTGACTTCGAACGAGAAAGCTTTCTTCCTTGCAATTGCTCCAGAGCCGCTCAAAGATGAACACATCCTGGAGAGAGCGGCAGCAATGGTCACCCGGGGAGCATCACAAATGATTAAAAGCTTCGTTCACGAGCCATTCTCGAGTCCCCAAGAAGACGATAAAAGAGACCAGAGTGTTACCCACACATCAACGACCGTGTCCACACGATCTCCGCAGCCGGCAGATGCAAATGAACTGATTGACGTGAATTATCATTTGCTTTCTACACCGAATTGGGAAGACTATCGGATTGACCTGGAGAACGATTTGGCCCGGGAGACAGAGAGTGTGGATGACAGATGGGCTATAGCCCTTGCCATCGAAGATTATGTTCATCTACACATGCTATAGACGATGTATATATCAAGCTGGGGGATGACCGTCATTTGTTGGTCTTGCATGCGCTGAGACCCAGCATCGATGGTAATATCGGAGTGACCATATACGGTGTTGAATAAAGCCGCTCGCGCATAATTTGCCTGCACATTTTTAAGCAGCCAGCTCTTCCTGAGAGACGATGATTTCTTTTTCCGAGGCTGCCAGAGTATTATTCCTTCTCTGTTCGATTACTCGTCTTCGCGCTTCCTTGTAAGTCATATACTTCCCCCCAGTATACTTAAGCGAGAACATGAGGTCGACCTCCTCTAGGGAGAGTCCAGCTGTTTCGACATAGAAATACCAGATGAATGGAACCCATGCTAGATTGAGAACAGCGAAGATGATATAGAATCTCCATCCAATGTTGGATATTGCTGCAATCACTTTAGTACCGTTTACAGAAGACTCGGATCACAGTGCTCACCTGGCGGAGTGATGGACACGATGACATAGACACCAATCCAGTTGGTAATCATCGCGACGGCGTTGCCCTTGTTTCGCATACGCTGCGAGTTGATCTCTGATGGATACATGAATGGGATCGACAAGAATGAAAGACCCTGGATGCGTCAATCAACGAGTTACTTCCTACAGCATGTCCGTGACGAGAGCGTTGATCGGATGACTTACAAAGCAGACGTGGTAGAGGAAGATGAAGGCAACTGCAACGCCATTCGTCGCCTTTGTACCAATTCCAAGTCCAAGGGCGGCCGTGGCAAAACAGAAACTTTGGCCCATGGCGCCATACAACATGAGGTTCTTCCGGCCCACTCTGTCAATCACGAACGAAATCATCAAGCCCCAGAAGCAGAGAGAGATGAAATCGACGGCCGACAAGATCAAGCTCAGACGTTGCGAGAAGCCAAAGGATTGAGTGAGAATGACCGGAAGATAGTACACGACGACGTTGATACCGCCAAATTGTTGCATAAGAGATGTCCCTGCGCCCAGGATGATGCGGCGAAGATCCTGCTGCTCGCCACCTGCAAAGACCTCGCGCCAGCCAACAGCTTGGGCCTCTCGCTCGTGGCTGATGGTTTCGGCAATTATACGGATTTCGGCCTTGAGGGATGGGTCATCGGTAGACTTGTTTTCGAGGTGCGCCATAATCTCCTGTGCCTCTTCCAATCGGTCCTTGTAGTACAGCCAGCGCGGTGATTCCGGCATAAACCAGAGAAGAAACATGCAAAGCAATGCGAGGAAGCATTGGAATGCAAGAGGGAACCGCCAGCTCGCATCGCTGTATGCGATATATGTCATGCCGAGATTAACCCACTGCGAGATATCGATGCCGAAGATGACGAGAACGAGTTGGAGCGCGATGAGCTTTCCGCGATGCTCGGGCTTGCTGGTCTCGCTCTGCCACATTGGGATTGTTGCAGAGTTCAAGCCAATGCCGACGCCGGCGACGACACGTCCGACGATCATCTGGGCGAGGGTGAAGGAGGATGCTTGGAGCGCACCGCCAACGGTAACTGAGAGACAAGCAATAGCAATGGCCATGCGCCTACCGTAGCGGTCGCCGACGAAGAGTGACATAGCCGCGCCGAGGATGCATCCAATGTCGTACGTTGACACAATCTGTCCCTGGATGGTCGCGTCGGGATCGTCGAAAGTTGAAAGAAAGCGTTCATTCCCGAGAATGCCTCCGAACACTCCCTGGTCCCAGCCGAACAGCATGAAGCCGATACCAGAAGTGAGGGTTATGCCTATGGTGAGGGCGCGCCCTTTGAGGTTACCGAGACCCATGGTTATCGTGTGGTATCAGTGAGCAACGAAAGAGTGTTGTGCCAGGTTTGTGATGTTTCCTTAGTAATCTAGAGAGAGATATTCTGGCAGCAACGAAAGGACAATCTAGGGATCAACGTTTCGACTTAAATAAAGCGAGGGGACACCATCTCCGGTCGGAGGGCTAAGGTTGATGTGAGGTCTTCAGTAGGACGATTCGAGCACAATCGAGCTTCGCTGCTAACGTAGCCAGCGCTATGTGATCATATAACCGTGATCTGCCGGATGCTGAGAGACAGACCCAGTAGGGCGCGGAAATCTTCCACAGGGTCAGGAATCAAAGTGCGGGGGCCCCGGATTCTATTTTTGGAGAGCTAGGCTTCGCCACGAGGAAGCAAGTTTATGGAGAGCTTTCAAACAGTGGTTCACTACTGCACGTGACATAGCTTTGATCTGATACATGACGTGCTGATAGCCGTGGTTTCCCTACTGAGGACGGACTAGTATTTTGATGTGCCTATCCTTGTTGCTAATCAACTCCTCAAAGGCTCCACCGATGACATCGCTCAGGGGTACAATGGCAGTAATCATCTCCTCTGCCCTCAGCTTGCCAGACGCCAACGCTTCCACCACGGTTGCAAAGTCCTCGGAAGTGTAGCAGAGCCCACCCATGTATTTCTTCTCCATCAAAGTGAAGGCGTTCGGGTCGATCTGCAGCGGCTTGTCGTGGATGGCCACGTTGAAAATCGTGCCTCCTGCTCTTGTAGCCGCAATCGCTGTGTCAAGCGTTGCTTGGATTCCCGTGGCATCAAAGGTAATGTCGACGCCGCCGTCGGTCTGGCCGTGCACAAAGCCGACAACGACGTCTCTGTCGTTTCCTTGGACCTTTTGGGCTGGATTTATGACCGCGTCTGCGCCAAAGTGCTTCGCCTTTTCGGACCGCAGGGGTGAGATCTCGCTGACAAAGACCTGGCCTACCCCCTGCACTTTCAGGAGCAGCAGGATCGCGAGACCAATCGGCCCGGCACCGAGGATCAGGACGCTGTCGCCAGGTTGAAATTCAGACACGCGGATCATGTGGCATGCCACGGCGAGAGGCTCGCACAGTGCCGATACACTCAGAGGGATTGACGACGGAACGGGCACGATGCTGGCGGAGTGCACTACAATCTCATCGGAGAGCCCTCCCCCGAGAGCACTCAGGCCGTAGCACGCCCAGCGCTTGCAGAGGTTCGGCTTCCCAAGGCTACAGGGCCTACACTGCTCGAGGCCGTGGTGGCGGTCGTCAACCGACGGGTTGACGGCACACTGCTGGCCAACAGCAACCGTAGTCACTGCGGATCCCACCTCGACGACAGTGCCCGACATCTCGTGGCCCAAAGTGACGGGCAGCCGCAGGCCGGTGTGCGGATGTGCGTGGCCAAACTGAGGGGTGAGGATCGGTCCCCCCAGATATTCGTGAAGGTCGGAGCCACAGACGCCGCAGAAGGCAATCTTGACGCGCACCTGTAGAGGCCCGCATTCTCTGCCGCAAAGTCGTCAGTGCTGGATTGCGCCGCCAACGCCAGGCTCGCTCGGGCATCTCATGGCGTATCTCACGTACTGCTGTGCAATGTCCTCGATCCTGACATCTTTCGGTCCATAGTAGCGGGCTGCAGTGACGGTGGTCATGTCGAGTCGACAGGTAGAAGGGGTGTTGGTGGCAGCAGAGCCATCGGCAGCGTAGTGACTAATGGCGACAGATCCGATCATATGTGGGCACGTGGGGTCCCCGCGCGCAGCTCCTGCGGGGAATCACGGACGCGGCGCGATTGATGCCCTCGCGACGGCTATATAACATTGCGTCTCGCCGCCAGCCCCCTTCCATACCCCGTCGTCTGTTGGCACCCATGTACCCGCCGTCTGTTGGCGCCCATGTACCCGCCGTCTGTTGGCACCGATGCGCCCACCCTGCCGAGTGATGACGGCCGAGCCCAGCACGAACAACCCCCGGGTCAGGACACGCGCGCCACGGGCCTGCACACAGTGTAGCCAGCGCAAAGTGCTGTGCGACGGCGTGGAATGCGGCATTCCTTGCAGCAGATGTCGTGCCATGCGCAACGTCGAGTGCACCTTTCTCCCATCGCGCCGGGGCACGTACCCGCGCAAGAAGAAGGTTGGCTACGACGCGCACCAGCCCGGATGCAACGAACCCACCGCGCGAGCCGTGGGCTTGGGCACGGGCGTAGGCCGTGCAGGCGACCTCGACAGCGCGTGCGCGACGACATCCGTCCCTCGATGGCAGGCCGACGCCGGGCACGCGCATCGCAACGGGTCTGAGTCTCCGGCGCGTGGAGAGCCGCGGGATGCTCCTCTGCGGACGTCGTCCCTCGCCGCCATGTTCGAAGAGTACCTGGACAGCCAGCCACCGCCCAACGAAAGCGTACTGAGCAAGCGCGGCGTCATCTTCCTCGCCGACTCATCGCCCCTGACCTTTGCCCTGGGGGAGCTCCCACGTGACAAGACCCTGCACAACGTGAGCTCACGCGTAACCAACACGGCGTCCGAGAGCGAGGAGGGCTTGGCGGGCCCGCAGGGCAGTCCTCACCCTGTCCACATGTCCGCCGCGGACATTGCGTATCTGAAAGCGAAAGGCGCCTTTGAGATGCCGCAAGACGAGCTGCTCAGCGCTCTGGTCGGCGCGTTCCTGGACAAGTTCTGCACGCTCTACTCCATAGTCAACCGAGACAAGTTCGTGCAGCTGTACGAGCAGCAGAAGCTTCCTTGGATCCTGATGCATGCCGTATGCTTCATCGGAGCGACGTACTGCGACCAGGCCGTGATACATCGGTCGGCGATGCAGTCCAGATGGCACGCCCGCCGCTGCTTCTACGACAAGGCAAAGGTTCTCTTTGACCTTGGATACGAGACGGACAAGATCATCCTCCTCCAGACAGTGCTCCTGCTCACCTTCTGGGGCCCGCAGATGAAGAGCTACTGGAATCCATGCTCATGGATCGGGTTCGGTGTCACAATAGCAGATTCTTTGGGCATATATAAGTCCAACTCGTCGGCGCACCAACCTCCCGCCGGCCGGAGCCTGCTCCGACGACTATGGTGGACCCTGGCCGTTCGCGACGCATACTGTGCCGCGCTGTTGGGACGACCATTTAGGATCAACATGGCGCGGTGTGACACAGAACCTCTGAGCATCGACGACTTTTACCCAGAGGATGGCCATGATCAGGCAGCCGCAGCAGCAAGGGCAGCAGAGAGCACTTACGCCGGCGCTCAATGTCAGATCCAAATTGCGAAACTCTCGCTCATATTGCGACAGATTATGCTGTCAAAGTCTAACGGCAAGTACGACGCTCAAGTCATCGCCAATCTGCACAGACTTCTGGAGCAGTGGCAGGCCGACCTGCCTGCCGCGGTAGACTGGCGGACGCCTGGCAATGCCACCAATCTGTGCGCAATGAGCCTCAAGATTATTTTCCATCATCACCTCATAGTCATCCATCTTGGTGAGCCGCCTTGTGGTTCACCCGACACCAACAGCCAAGTCGATATGGACAGTCTATCGATCAAGTTGGCCGAGTCTGCCGCTCAGACGATTGCATCTTCCGCCATCGCACTCATGACAGGCTCCATGGTGGGCAATCTCCCCCATGAAGTATTTCCCGGTTTCTTCATAGCAGGGATTGTCTTCTATAGGCAAATGAAGAACCAGAACGCCATGCTGGCCCAGCTGGGACAAGCGGCACTGGACAACTGTCAGATGGTTATGAACGAAGCACGAGATAACTGGGACGCCGCGCAGTGGGCTTTGCGGATTTTCGACTTCCTCCTCTCGAAAACGGACCGGATCGAATCCCAACGTGATAAGGCTTGTCAGCAGCTGCCGAATGCTCCGGCGCATGACTTTGCCATGTCACGGGACATTACGGAAATGGACACCCCCGCCGGACAGCTAGATGCTGCAGCTGTTGTCGGCGGTGACATGTCGGCTACTATCGATCTGAATTCGTTGCCGAATCAGTATTTTATGGAAACGGTAAACGACATTTTGCTCATGCCAGACTACTTCATGACCGCAGCGGAGTTTGATTTCAGCGTGCCTTATTAGGTCCAATAACTCGTGGGTTTTGAGCCTTATCAGAAAGCTCCGTGTTTTACTTGTCCGCGCTCACATTTTGATCTTTGATTGTCTACATCCTTTAGGAAAACACAATGCCTCCATCTACCACAATGGTCTGTCCGGTAACAAAGTCACTGTCTTTGCTGCACAAGAAACCACCCACCACCTTTGCAACGTCTTCGGGGACAGACACCCTACCCATGGCGGTCAACTCAGAACCAAATTTTTCAATGGTTCTGCCCCGAGATCTGCCCTCAAGAGCTCCCAGCTTTTCATCGATTTCGTCCCACATTGCAGTGTCCACAATACCAGGGGCGTAACAATTGACCGTGATCTTGTGCCGCGCCACCTCAACGGCAAATGTCTGAGTGAACATCCTGACCGCGCTTTTGCTCATACAGTAGTGGGAAAGCAGTGGAAACGGTTTGTAAGCAGCGATTGATGCAGCACCCATAATCCTGTAACCGACTGCTGATTCTGCGACCGGACCCTGCGCAATCATTTGCCGCGCAGCATGTGTGTAGCAATTGAAAACACCGAGTATATTGACGTTGAACATCTTAGTCACGTCCTGCGTGGTCATTTCCAGCGCAGGTGCAACCTGCGCGATGCCTGCGTTTGCGATCATGACCGTGAGCGGACCGAGCTGGCGCAACGATTCATCGATCATTCGTTTCACCTCATCAGACGACGAGACGTCGGCCGCCACCCCAATGGCCGTGCGATGGCCGGATTTGGAGTTGATTTCATTGACCACGATATCGATGGTAGACTGATTTGCTGGGATATCGTTCACACAGACGGCGAACCCTTCCTCAACAAGTCGGTGGACGATCGCCAGACCTCTAAGGGCAACAATATCAGCTTCTTGAATCTCGAGTTAGGACATAGATCGCCATCTGCACTTACATGCCCTGCGCTGAGCCTGTAACTATCGCTGTTGGCTTAGCTGCCATGACTTCCTCTGACAAGGCCGATTCAGAATGACGATGCGTCTGCTTGGTACATTAGACAGTACATTTAAGTTGAGAATTGATCCTAACCAGATACCATGCTAGGCCTCCGCAACCTCAGATATCGGTTAGGATCATAAAGCGGCAATATGAGATATTGCCGCAACTGTACCCCGCAGAGAGATGCTTGGCGCCATGCAACTCGCTCGCTGGACGGCTTTATGCGCTAGGTCGTGCGACTCCAGTGCTCGAGCCATCGACAACAGACACATCAGTTGGGGGTTTCGCGGTCTAGGTGAGGAGGATCTGGCCAGAGCATGGTAATGAGACTTGGAGACTTCTTACGCGTCGAGAGATCTTTTTTTGGTTAGGGCTCAATTCGGACCCGTGATCGTGCAGCGCCGGAAGCGATGGTGGGAACGTCGGAAAAGGTTACCATTTGCTGAAGGATAACCGTCACGGTATCAGGTTCAATTTGTCTTGAACATTAACAAAGGCGCTCACTTCTAATACAGCCGCGCTCTAATTGCTGCAGTCTGCGCATCAGTTTCTTCTTGTCGGGCCAGCTCTTTGAGCTGTCGTCTTAGAATCTTGCCGCTGCTCTTGTGCCAGGGTTTCGGCAGAATTGGAGGAAGGTTGCGGCGGACGCCAGTCGGATGTCTTCCAGGTTGGGCCGCTCGTCCTGCTGCTGGATAGCATGGGGTGGCTGCGGAAGCGGAACACTTAATGGCGGGAGTGGTGGCTTCTGCAGCGGTTTTCCCCTTTGCCCTGATCCGGCGGCGAAACGGGCGGGGGCCGGTTTTCCTTGTGGTTGGTTCGGGATCATGAGAGCACGGCATTCAGGCATGGTGCCTTTTTCCGCATTGGCATTATGCGTACGATAGTTGGAATGTTTAGGTTCGCCTAGTATAGAGAGGTCGTGGAAGGCTCGTGAGGGGTCTAGGACCGTAGGGGCCTAGGGTGGCGAGGAAAGGCCTGCTAGGCAACAGTAGCGTTAGCAATACCATGAGTTAAAGGTTAACGTTATTCCTATCTAGTCTATACTTAGATTATAACGCCTTAGCTATAGTAAGCTAAGAATAATAGAAGTTTTCTAGGCTAGAGTAGTAATAAAGAATAGGTAGTATTTTGTTACAATTATAGAATTAGAAACAGAGTTAGCTAGCTAGAATAGAGAAAACGGTAGGCTAAGCCTAGGATTACAGAGTAAAAGGTTACGTGCGAAGTTACGAGAATAATTAGAGCTACGTAACGTAGATTAGGTAGATTAGATAGAGCAAGGCGAATTAGGTCTAATCTATAGGAGCTAGATCTTAGCACCTAATCTAGCTAGAACGGTACCTATATATAAATAAGAAGAGTTTATTTCTTATAACTTCTTATAGTTATTACTTTATCTATTAAATTACTACTATAACTTGTAATTTATAGTATTATTAACTCTACCTCTTTATTACTAAAGATTCTAGCCTAAAGTATACCTCTTACCTTCTCTTATAAAAGTAAGCCTTAGTCTTAGTTAAGAGAATAGCTTATAATAAAATAACTACCTAACGTTAAAGAGTAGAACAACTATATTAATAGTTAGAACCTAATCTAGAAAGGTCTAAGCCTAGAAGCTAACTATAGAAGAGTAGATTATAGAACTCTAATAGGTTGTTATAGTACTCTAGAAGATAAGCGTCTAATAGGTAGAGAAGCTAGCTATAGTAAAATAACAGGTCTAGACTAAGATTACCTTACTTTAACGCTTTAATAGTAAAAGAGAGAACCTTAACATATTTCTAGTAGCTATAGAACTTTACCTATAGTATAACGCTATAGTATTTCTATAGAATAAGAATAAGATTCTAGAAGCTATAATAAATATAGAAGAAGAGGCTCTTATATAGACTAAGCTTTATATATTAGACTAGCTAGAAAATAAAGATAATATAAAGAGAATATAATAGTCTATAAATAAAATCTTTAAAAGCTAGATAGAGTTTATAAAATACCTCTAAAAGATATTTAGAGAAGTTAACGTATATAAGATAGCGTAGAAAAAGTTATTCTAATTATAATAGACTAGATTAGTATTCTAGTATATAGTAATATTTAGGTAGCTAAGCGCTTACCTAGACTAGAATAATCTTACGCTAGTAGAACTCTTCTATAAGAGATTAAAAGAGTTAGTTAAGAATAATATTACGCATGCTAAATAGCTAGAGAACCTAAGTAATACTATAGAGATAGTAGTAAAAATTAATAACTAATAGTATAAACAAAATCTAGAACGTTAATAGAGTAGAGACTAGCCTATACTACTAATAATTAGAACTAAATAACTATAGACTATATTCTAGAGAGACTCTATAGACCTAGACTAGGTTAAGACTCTATAAAAAGAAAAGTAAACTCTATAAATAAAGAAAAAAGTATAATACTTTAAGAAAGAACTATATCTAGTCTATAGCAAAAAAGAACACTTTACGCAAGAATACCTAAAGAAAAAGAAAATTGTTAAAATAATCTAAGTAGACTATAATAGTCTTATATAGATAGTATACTATAATAATAGCTATATAATATACTAGAGAGATAAGGTTAACTTAGAATAGTACTCTACTAGAGTCTAGGCTATTATGCTAGAGTACTCTACGTATATAGAATATCTTACTCTAGAAGTAATCTAATAATATATTAACGTATAATAGTACTAGATATACGTAGAAACCTATAACGTATAGAACTATTAGCATGTATATTAGAATATTCTATTTACTAATAAAGAATTCTAGAAGATATTAGACGCTCTTAAGAAGGTAGCCTAATTAGTAGAATATCTTATAAATAAGAAAGTATACTTATATATTTAGAAGATATACTAGAGCTTCTCTATAAACTATTCTAGAGCTAGAAAAGCTAAGTAGTAGTAACCTAAATATATAGAAAGAGGTAGATGTTAAGACTTCTTCTATAAAGTATACCTAACTAAACTATTCTAAAGAAAGAAGCTCTCTAGACTATTTTTATATAACTAGAAAATTAAAGTACGCCTATAGTAGAAACTATACTAGTTATACAAGAGAAACTACCTAGAATATAACTATATCTACTAAGCTTACCTTTTAGTAATTTATAGTAGAGAAGAAAAGATAGTAGTTAAAATAGCTACTAGTACTTAGAGGCTAGATAATAAAGAAATCTAAGTAGTAACGTATATAGACCTACGCTCTAAGAAAGAAAATAGCTAAATAGTAATACTAGAACTAGTTAAGAAAGTCTATAGCAAGGTACACTACGCTAAACTCTAGAACTAATACACTATTAGGTGCTAGTACTATAAAGAATAGTACTAAACTATAGAATAGATAGCTAATTATTCTAACTACTATATACTTAACTATAGATAGTATTTTCTAGAATAGAAATACCTCTACTATAGCTAAAGAGCTAAGAATAAATATATACAACTTTACTAGACTATATATATACTAGAATAATGCCTAGTATATATAGTAGAAAAGAAATAAGAATTAGTACTAGCTACTCTCTTAAAGTTAAAAAACTAGTAGGCTCTTAAGGCAAAGGTCTAGCCTAGAAAGGCTCTATTTAAACTATAGGTAAGATTATTACTCTAAAACCTAGAACGCTACGCGTAAAAGCTATATTAGAAGATAGAAAGCTTATAGCCTATATAGATAGTAGAGTAGCAAGAATATATATTTTAGCTAGTCTAGTAAAACTACTAAATATACTATTTTAAGAAAAATAATAGCTATACTAAGTATAACTTATAGATAACTAGCTACCTACCTTTAGCTAAGAATAGATTTACTTAGAAACTAAAGTACAGGTACTAGATATCTAGAGAATATAGAAATAATAGTTCTATAATATTATAAAACTAGAAAATATAGATATACTTCTAGAGCTAGACTAGCTATAAAGATATAACTCTAATATTAGTTAGATTAGGTTAGAACTCTAGAAAAGGCCTAAAGTAGTATAGAAGGCTAGAGTAAGACACTATCTAAGAGCTTACTAAAAGCTAGAGGTAAAGATTAGAAGAATATTCTCTATAAGTCTAATAAAACAAGTAAGAAAATAACTCTAAGACGTTAGCGTTATATAGATACGAAAGCTATAAACTAATATAAAGTAACTACCTTAAGAAGTTAAGAAAGACTATAAGAAGTTTATATTATTATTTAATAGATAAGATAATAGCGTTCTACCTAAACATAAACTATAGAACTATAAGATATCTATAGAAGATAAAGCTACGCTAAAGCTAGAACTAATATACCTACTTAGCTATAAGTAAAGAGAGAAACTCTAAAGGTATCTAGAAAGACTCTTACGTAAAAAATATATCTAAGAGAGCTAAAGCCTAATAGCCTTACTAGTACTATTTATACTAAAGAAAAATAAATAGTTAAGACTATATATTAACTACTAATAACTTAACTAGGTAACTTAGAAGAATTATTATCTACTACCTATAATCTTAGAACTTATAGACTACCTTATAGAAGTATAATAGTTTACAAAGTTTAATATCTAAGAAGAGTACTATTAAATATAAATTAAAAAAGGCTATAAATAGAAAACTACCTTTAGAATAAAGAAAGGTCTATATAAATACCTAGTTATACTATTTAGACTTACTAACGTACTAGTAATATTCTAAAGTATAATTAATATAGCCTTATATAAATACCTAAAAAGGTTTACTATAGCCTATCTAGATAACGTACTTATATACTTAAAAGAAAAACTAGAAGAGTATAAAAACTACGTATAAAAAATACTATAGAAGTTTAAGAAGTATAGGCTTCTAATAGCTTCTAATAAAAGTAAGTTTTATTATATAGAGACAAGCTACCTAGAATTCTATCTAACCTAAGAAGAAATTTAGATAGAGATAGATAAGGTCTAGGTAGTTCTAGACTAGTCTATACTCTAAATAGTAAAAGAAGTATAATTCTTTCTAGAATTTATAAACTACTACTAAAAGTTTATTTAAGAATATTTATAGATTACTATACTACTTATAGAAGTTACTAAAAAAGACTAAGAATTTAGATAGAAAGACCTATAATAATAAGTATTTAAAACGCTAAAATAAACGTTTACTATAGCACTACTACTATAAATATTTAATAAAAATAAACTAATATAGGTTAAAATAGACGTGTTAGACTAAGCTCTAGAAGTATATCTTAGCTAACCTAGAGAAGATAGTAAATATTAACTATACTTCTTCTACTTAAGAAAGTTCTTAGTAGTAGAACTTAACTATAATATATATAATAAGAAACTTATAGCTATTATAGTAGTAATAAAAGAATAGAGAATATACTTAAAAGGCGCTAAGTACTCTATTAACGTAGTATTAGACTATAAGAACCTTATAGCGTTTATAATAATAAAAACGCTAAACTAATAATAAGTTAGATAGATAGAAACGCTAGCTATACTAAACTTTATAATCTAATACTAAAAGAGTACTAAAAATAGAGCTATAGATATACTTAGCTATAGAGCTAACTACGTAGATACTATAAAAGAGAAATATAAAGCTATACTTTGCATAAGACTAGATAGAACTCTAGAATATAATAGACTATAGGTTAGCTAGATTATAGAGATTAGAAACTAGTAGAATAATAAGCTAGAACTACCTAATAAATAGAGATAGTAGAAAGTACTAGAAATATTATAGATAGAGTTTATCTAGAAATTCTATAGCACCTTAATATATAGATACTAGAGAATTAAACGTACTCTTAAGAGGCTATATTAGAAATATAGATTTCTTATAATAAAAAAGAAAGTTATAAGAATAGTATAAAAGTACGTAGAGTGCTAGTAAAATAAGATAACTAGGTACTAACTCTATAGGCTACTATAACTCTTAGAACTACCTATAGCGCTATAGTAACACGTTACTATAGACTTTATTATAAAGCTACCTAGATTAATTAAACCTAC